GAAGCTGTTCCGGGCGGGGAAGTGGCCGAAGATCAAGGCCCAGCGAGAGAAGAAGTGTAAGGAGTGGCTGAACGGATGCAGCAGGCTGTTCCGCAACAAGCTGCCGGGATTCGACCTCAAAGCAGCAGAGAGGGAGCTTCCAACCTTCTGCGCGATCATGGAGGCACACCATGAGATGGAGAGCTTCACCCAGTGCCTGTCCAACTTCCTTGGGAGCGCAGACTCCAAGAGGTAGCCTATACTTTGCTAACATGGGTTTTACAATCTTGTTGCGCATCGCTAACTGTTTCCGTTGTGTTGTGTGTACGAATGTGCCTGGCAGGAGATGGCCCAACCTCATCCCGCTGTGGTAGGCGCTGGCTGTGCTCCCCCTCTCCACCGTGGAGTGCGAAAGGGGGTTCTCCAGGCAGAACGTCATCAAGTCCTGGGTGCGAGGAGCGCTGTGCAATGCGCGTCTGGGGAAGCTGATGCAGATATCGCTCCTCAAGTATGAGATCGACTGGCCGGAGGCACTGGAGGTGTGGAGGTCCCTGCGGAGGAGGCGCCCTGCGAAGAGCTTGAAGCTGGCTGTGGCAGAGAGGGAGAGGAGGGGGAAGCAGAAGGAGGGTGAAGATGTGGCTGCTAGAAATGCCGGGGAGAATGAGGATGAGGAGGAGGAGGAGGAGGACGATGAAGTGGAACAGGCCTTCGGCGACGATCAGGAGATCGTGGGGGAGGAGGAAGCGGAGGACAATCCATTCCTGTCGGACGATGAAGTGGAACAGGCCTTCGGCGACGATCAGAAGCCCGTGCACTAGACTAGATAGAGTAGGAAAGTGCATGCAGTTGTATCATTTTGGAAAATAGTGCACTGTTAATAGCAACCCTGTTTTTGAGCTGTGAACCCTGTCCGGTCAGAGTTGGACTTCGTGTGACACTGAGCTATCAGGGTAGCTACCTTGCGAAAAATGTGCCCTCATAATAGAGGGTCAAAAATTTTAATGGAATCAGGGAGTCCTAAAACGAAACGTCAGCCCTGGTTCAAGCGCCTAACATCTATGCTGATCTTCTAGGTACTGTCATTGCTGCTGAGGTAGCGTGCGGTTATCAAGGCTTTATTGTTATCAACAACTTTGGCAAGGCGCTTCCGTGAAGCATACACTTCCCAAGATATGACTATCAGGTTTCACAGGCCTGGTTCAGGGGTGTTTTTAAGGCGCTCAGAGAGTTTATTCCTCCAGCACTCCGCTGGTTGTGGTGGCTCTTTCATCATCACGCCATGTTAAGCCAGCTAACAAGATGGATTTTGCTGCTACTGCTACTGCTACGCTGAAGACACCTGCTGCTGGTCTGTCAACTTGTCCAACGACGGCTACTGCTGTTCCGTCGAAGTCGCCACGCACTCTGTTCGCGGAAGATGACTCGGAGTCGCTGACGCTGTCCGCTAAGCTGGCGGCTCTCCGGATCGAGCAAGCTGCTGGTGGGAAGACGGATCATGGCAAAGTGAAGGACGCGGATTTTAAGGACGATGTCTCCGACGCGGAAGAAGATGCTGCTGGTGATGAAGAGCATGACGTACCTGGTGCTGCTCGTTGTGTCAGTTTCCTTGATAATGAGGATGACGGGCTTCTGGCGTATGATTGGAAGGAGTGTTTTGAGGACAAAGCGAAAGAAGACTTGGCGGCGAAGCTTTGTTTCCCACTCACCCTGCCGATCCCAAGCGACCATCTGCAGGAGGTTCGTCGCACGCAGGCAACAGTCAAAGAACTGCTGGGGATGTGGGAGAATGATCTCACAGAGCACGCGGTTAAGACGACATTCCAGGAACTGGATCCGGTATATATTGCGAAAAATGTTATACGGTCGTATGCAAGTCATTTTCGTCGTTGCCTCTGATGCTAACTTTGACTAACGCAACCGTATTGAGCATCGGTGCATGGATGGAAAATATATCTACTTCGATTGGCTCTACCTGGAGGATCCAGGTTACACGAGGAGGAAGATCACTGACCTGGCGGTTATCGAGGTGCTGTTCCTTGGTGTTGTTGCGGAAATTTCCCCGGAGATCCTAAATAAAGCGCTCGCTATCTCTCCGCTGAAGATCTGCAAGCATCCGGCCTTCAAGGAGGGCTTCCATTTCCATCGCGTGGTGCATCCTCTTTCGGGGCTGGATACTGACCGGGTGAATGGGCTGGTCGTCGCTCACGAGAATGACCAGTTTCGGTGGCTGCATCAGTTCGAGAACCCAATCTCTTTTGGAGCGAAGGTCATGGTGCATTACCCGGCTCTAAAGTGTTCGCTCTGCGGGGGAATGCAATCGGTGCATAATCACAACGACTTCATCACGGAACAGCAAAACAACATCTCCAAATGGAACCTCACAGTGGGGGGGATCCATGAGCTCAACGGTAGAGATGGTGTTTCCCACTTACGTGATCATGCTGCTCACGTCGTTGTCGCTTTCCTTTTCTTGGCGGTCTCAAATATCCAGCTGCGTACCTCCCATCCGTGCAGCGACTGCGACTGTAGCCACAACGGCAACTAGGATCATCCTCAAGGACCCCGCGTTGGTGCTGGTTTCAACGGCGGGCAACACGGAGGAATGGGTTTGTCTGCTGGAATGCAGCGAGAAGGCAAAGGGCTCTTCTTTCGAGCATGTCAGAATATTATGCTCTAGCCTGTAGTGGGGTGCTCCATAGCGAGTACAACCCTTCTAGGGTTTGCTATTTGTATCCCCATTATTGCTAGTTCAACCCTCTTCTTTCTTCTAAATTTTACATGCTATCAGAGCATGTCGATCCCCTTGGATCGATCCTGTGGGTGGGCTCACCACCTCGTTGCTTCCGCTGCAACTGCTACTGCTACTCTCTGTGCCGCACGCCCCGTGGCGTGCGGCAGTTTTTTCTTCCCGCCGTGCGCCCCGAGGCGCGCGGCGGTTCTCTGCCTGCTGTGCGCCCCGAGGCGCGTCGCGGGCTTCTGCCCCGTCACTCGGCACGTCGCCCTCGGGAGGCGCTGCGACGGGCGACGGGGACCCGCGCGTCGGCCCCGTTGCCGCCCGCATCGGCCCCGTCACCGCCCGCAGCGGGCCCGTTGCCGCCTGCAGCGGCCCCGTCGCCGCGCGCAGCGGCCCCGTCGCCGCCCGCAGCGACCCTGTCCCCGCCCGCATCGGCCCCGTCGTCGCCGCCAGCGGCCCCGTCGCCGCCACTTGCGGCCCCGGCCCCGCCCCGGCCATGCCTCGTCGTCAGCCGCGGCGCACCGGGGGCACGTGCACCGCCCCCCCCCCCCCCCCCCCCTCTTTTCCCGTCGCCTGTCGAGGCGACCTGAGGGGGCTGCGGCGACGGGAGGGGCGACGTGGGGGTGGGGGCGAGCGTCGCCCCTTCTGCCGCCTACTTTGGCGCACAGGGAGGCTGCTCGTTGCCCCCCCCCCCCCCCTCCGTAACCTCCCTACCCGCCATCTCGCCCTGCCCTGTGTTCGGGTTTGGGGGTGGCGAGTGGGGGGGTGGCGGGTGTGTGGTCTCCCCTGCTCCTCCTACTCCTCTGTCTCCCACTGGTGCAGCTGCCTGCCGCTAAGGGGGGTGGGTGTGTGGGAGTCGACGGAGTCGTGCTAGGGGGTGGGGTGTGAGTGACCCTAGGGGTGCAGTAGGGGGTGTGTGTCAGGGGGGGTGAGACTGTTTGGGAAGCTGAACGGAGGTTGCCGTCGTGTCGCCAGCAGCACCTGTAGTCCGGGGAGTTGCTCCGGTAGCCCAGTCGTAGCCACCTGTGCCAGTCGCCCGTGGGTCCGTTGCTCATCTGCCGCTACTTTAGCCACGGGGCCAGTTACTCCAGTAGTCCGGAGAGTTGCTCCGGTAGCCACTGTGCCAGTATGCCTCCTGTTGCCCGTGTGTCTACAGCTTCAGCCGTCGCCTCCTATCTCCTCTCCTCTCACTCTCGCCTCCTCGTCCTCACTTGCCCTTTGCGATAGCCTCTAGCTTTGCTCATAATTGTTAACTTTAAACTATTGCTTCTTGAACTTGTGCTCAGAATGTGTGGTGACATTGTGATCCACCCTGAGCTTGTACTGCTTTGCTTGCTCTGCTGATTACACCCCACTTTGGCTATGGGGGTGTGTCAGAATATTATGCTCTAGACTGTAGTGGGGTGCTCCATAGCGAGTACAACCCTTCTAGGGTTTGCTATTTGTATCCCCATTATTGCTAGTTCAACCCTCTTCTTTCTTCTAAATTTTACAGAGCAGGCTGCTCACCACACGCTTTCCCAGCGCCATCAGGGTGGGCTAGCGAAGTAGGGAGCTGTGACGCGCGTCCTCAAGGACAATCTGAAACTCCGTGTGCTGTGCAAGGAGTATGGGATTTAAGGATTGTCTCTGCAAGATGGAGAGAGGGGGATGGATGCCCGTTAGTGCGGTGCTCCCATGTGATGTATGAAATGCTATATAGCGGTAACTTGTTCTCTTTCAAATACCTTTCTAAAGCCCGTGGATGCTATGGGGCTCTTACCTGGTTGATTAATGGATAAAGCCTGCAAGTGCCGGTGTGCGAGCTCAACGTCAATGGGCTCGGGAGTAGAGGCAAGCAACGGAACCTAAAAAAGTGGACAAGAAAGGAAGCGGACATATACGTTATCACAGACAGAAGGGTTGCTCCTGATCACGAATGCTGGAAGTGGTTGAAGTTTCACCACTGCCTGGCGGTGGCAAACGTGGAAAGAGCCGGTGGGGTGGCAATTGTCAGCAATAACAAGCAGCTAGTCTTTGAAAACGTCACGGTCCATGCCTCAGGGAGGCTCATTCATGCAGAAGTAAGATGGGATACCTTCGGCTTTGCGACTCTGGCGGCGTACTTCCTAGCAAGCGCGTGCAGCATAGTTGCCTTCTTCAGAGATGTGCTGGGCCCCTTCTTGACAGGGTTGAACTGCAGGGGTAAGCTGCTGCTGGCTGGGGACCTCAATGTTGTGGAGGACCCAACCCTGTACAAGTCTCCGGGGGGGAGGGCGGGGGGAGGTTGTCCGGAGAGAATGTCAGGATGTTGCAACCATTCAGCGGCCTTCAAATGGTGGACGTGTTTTGGACGCTCAACCCGAGCGGCCGCGAGTTCACCTTCTACGCGAAGGCGATGAAGTCAAGCTCGAGGATTGACCGTATTCTGGTGTCGGCTGAGCTGCTACCTTTGGTGGTCGAGGCGTCTCACACCCGATCGCTGGGCAGCATTTCAGATCACAAGTGTGGCATTAAGGTGGTGCTGCAAGCGAGCCTGGGGCTACACATGGGCCCAGGAATCTGGCGGCTGCCATCTACAGACACGGCGAAACCAGGGGTAGAAAAGGTGATTGGAGCAATCACAGAAAGGCATCATGCAGGAGTCTCGGGTACTTTTGGTACCCTTCTCATCAAACTCAAGGCTGCGCTAAGGCGGTACGCAGCGGAAGAGCGGAAATGGATTCGCGCGACTTTGAGGCACCTAGAGCTAGCGGTCTCCGGGCTGCAGCAGGAGCCGATGAGGAGTCCCCAGCAAGACGACATTCGTGTGACCTTGGAGGAGAAAGAGTCGCAGCTGGCGGCATATCTGAACGGGGAGAATGACAGGCTGCACCTGTTGGCGGGGGTGAAGGAGGAAACGAAGGGCGAGATTGCGTCGAGGGTCCTCTCCGCGAAAGTAAAGTCAAAGAAGACTCGAACGATGATCACCGCTCTGGCCTCGCAAGGGGTGGAGCAAAGGGGTACGAGAGGTATTCTGGAGGCCGCCTCCCGCTTCTACACTGAGTTGTTTGCGGAAGCCCCTCCGTCGGGCCTACCCTGCTGGAAACCGGACTCACTGAAAACGCTGCGGGAGCAAGAGAAAACATATATGGAAGCAGACTGGTCAGAGGAGGAAGTAAGGAAAGCATTAAAAAAGATGGCGTGCGACAAGTCTCCAGGCGGCGACGGTTTGCTGAAGGAACTTTTCAAGCGCTACTGGGACCTGCTAAGGGAGGACTTCATGGATTTTATCAAACCGTTCGAATCCTCCGCGGTCTTTCCGGATGAATTGCAGGAGGCAGTGACCATCCCGCTGCACAAAAAGGGCCCAAAAGAACAGGTGTAGAATTACCGTCCGATCACTCTGTTGACGAGTTGCTACAGGGTGGTCGCCAAGCTGCTGGCCAATCGCATGAAGCGGGTGCTGGGCACTGTGAAAGAAAGAGGAATGAATGCACTAGGAAACAGGTGGGTACAAGTAGGAAAACCTAAAAGTGTTGTACCCCATATTCTCTGCCCCACTACAACCTACACAGACTATAGCATATAAGTCTGACACACCCCCATAGGCAAATTGGGGGAGAACAAGGGGTCACAAGACTAGTCTACCAAAGCAAAGCAAGCTCAAAGTGGATCACAACGTCACCACACATTCCGAGCACAAGTTCAAGGCCACAAGGCCAGTTCACATGCAAGATCATATATAAAGGTAAGCAAGCAAGTGCGGGTATAAATAGATCACAGTACAAGCAAGGTCAAGAAGTGAGCAAGTGAGGCCAAGTAGGCACAAGACCTAGCATCGTACAGCACCGCGGATGATCACAAGGCGGAAGTGCCTTGGTAAAGATATCAGCAGTGTTGGCCTCAGAGGCCACGTAAGCTAGGCGCAACTGACCACGCTACTGCAGCTCACGAGCAAGGAAGTAGCGAAGAGCAATGTGCTTTGTTCTGTGCTCCAGTCTGTGCTCCCAACACAAGGCCAGCATGGCCTTGCTGTCTATGTACAGAACTGGAGGAGAACGAGGCGGCTCTCCTAGGTCAGTCAGCATGTAGGTGAGCCAGCGTAGCTCCTGTGCAGCCATGGCCCCCGCGTAGATCTCAGCCTGACAGCTGGAGCCGAGAACAGAAGACGAGCGCCACGAAACATAGCCGGAACCAAGGCTGAAGGTGTAACCCTGTGACGACCGCTGCGTAGCCTGGTCGTCAGCCCAAGAAGCGTCTGTGTGACCTGTAAGGACCACTGAACGCCGCCCTCCAAGCACTAGCCCCATGCCTGATGTACTGCACAAGTAACGCAACACCCTCTTCGCTGTAGCCATGTGCTCAGGTCGGTGTCTCCCAGGAGCAACATAGCGTGCCAAGATGCTAAGAGGGTATGCAAGGTCAAGTCGTGTGCAGGTCATCAGGTACATGAGGCAGCCAACAAGCTCTGGGGACGGGCCACTCGGCTCTACGGACTCATCCGAAGGCAGAGCTGAGAGCTTGTGGCGAGTAGACAGAGGCGTGGCCTGAGGCGAAGAGTACATGAAGTTGAAGCGCTGAAGGACCTGCTGCACCATGTGTGACTGAGTCAGGGTAATGGTGCGGCGTGTTCTGTCCCGGGTGATCTGCAAGCCAAGGTAGCTGCGCAGTTCACCCAGGTTTGTGCACGTGTGTCTCTTTTGCAGCTCGGACTTCACGTAGGCGAGTCCAGCAGTGTCAGCAGTGGCAAAGACCAAGTCGTCGACGTACACGAAGATGTAGAACGGCGGCAAAGAGGTGTCGGTGCACAGAAACAACGACGGGTCTGCAGTAGAAGGAGCAAACCCAAGAGCCGCAAGAGTAGTCCTCAGTGTGTCGTGTCACTCACGGGGCGCCTGGCGGAGACCGTAGATTGGCCGCCGGAGGCTCCACTGGGTACCAGGAGGAAACGACCCGGTGAAGCCAGGTGGGCGACGCAGCCAGATCTCCTCGTGCAAGAGAGTGAAGCTCGTAGTCGCGCTGAGCGGCTATGTGCAGCAGTACCCGAAGAGTGGTCATCTTCGGGGTGGGAGAGAAGGTCTGAAAGTAGTCAACCCCCTGCCGCTGACTGAAGCCTCGAGCCACGTAACACGCCTTGAAGACAGGCGGAGAACCCGGCGGCCGCTTCACCCTGAAAATCCACATGCCACTGACGATGTTCGCCCCAGGTGGGGGAACCTCGTCGACGTAGGTGCCTGTGGACTTCCAGGAAGCCATCTCTGCGTCCATGGCTAACTGCCACTGTTAGGAGTAGGGACCCTCGATCGCCTCAGCGTATGATCGAGGAGTCGGGACAATCAGGGGCAATCAGCATGGACACGAGATGAGGCAAAGCAGCAGCAAAACACTGGAACTCCTCCTGCCTGTCCTCAAGGACGTCCGTGCTAAGAGCACACTCACCCTGACGGACGGAGGACAGACAGGCTCAGACTCAGCAACAAGACTCGTACCATAGTCTAGACGACAGTGAGCAGCGAAGTCGACCAGCTCAACAACTAAGGCAGATGCAACAGTGGACTCAAAGGAAGGGTCACTGACAACAGTAGCCAGGAGACGCGTGACAGTACGACTGGCAGCACGAAGAGAGTCACACTCACGGGTCAGCAAGAGCAGGAAGAGAGGACTCTGGAGGAGACGGCCAAGGGACACGCTGCGCAGAAGTGGAAGGACTCAGTTCCATCTGGTGCGTGCCCGGGACCGAAGCAGGACGCTGACGCGACACACGACGACTAGCGCGAACAGCACAAACAGGCGACGCAGGGCGAGATGCAGTCGCACGACGCTCAGCAAGACCTCTAGTAGGACCAGTGTAGGGAGAAGGAGCAGGCAGTGGGGAGGCGGGTTGTAACTGTGACTGCGACTGGACAGGCTGTGGACACTCTAAGGGAGGAGGAGGACCAGTAGAAGGCGGGAGACGAAGAGCCTGCTCAAGGAGCGGAACGAAGTACGGCCGCGGCCGCGCAGCGCCTCCTGAAACAGCAAGGACAGCACTAGTACCTCCAGCGGCAGCACCAGCGCCAGCAGCACCTCCAGCTCCAGCAGCGCCAGCTCCAGCACCCTCAGAAGCACCAGCGCCAGCAGTACCTCTAGCACCAGCACCCCCAGCAGCTCCAGTACCCCTAGCAGCACCAGCAGCTCTAGTACCTCCAGCAGCACCGGCAGCACCTCCAGCAGGACCAACTCCAGCAGCCCTTGCAGCACCCTCAGTCCCAGCAGCTCCAGTACCGCCAGTACAAGCACCTCCAGGACCAGTGGCTCCAGCACCTCCACCACCATCAGCACCGACCCCAGGGTCAGCAGCAACAGCAGAACCTCCAGCTCCAGCAGCACGGCTCCAGCGCCTGGCAAACCACTCGTGCAGCTCCTGTGGAGAGGGGAGCTCCCGCCGAGACGAAGTACCCGAAGGACCCCCAGACCCAGCACCACCAGAGGCCACACGAGCAGACCCAGCACCCCCAGGCTCCGCACCCCCAGGCTCAGCACCCCCAGGCTCCGCTCCCCCAGGCTCTGCACCCCCAGGCTCAGCACCCCCAGGCTCATGTCAGAGTTCTTGAGGGTAATCCTAAAGATCACTGACAAAAAGGGGGGGGCTGTAGGGAGGCAAGGAGGAAATAAGGTGTACATTTGTATATAGGCGAGGAGGCGGATAACGGGGTGTAGAAGCGACAGCAGGAAGTGGTGGGAAGCTCGGCATTGGCAGGCAGCGGGTAAAGCTTGGGACGAACCTATGGCTGGCCTGGAGAAGGGATGGCGAGCTTACATGGCGGGAGGGGGTTGAATGGGGCTTGCTGGGATGCATGTGTTTGTTTCTTGCTTGTGTGCAGACACCGAGTCCAGGGGAGCTGGAAGTCACACCCGCCAGCTGGAGGAAGGCAGGATAGCTGCAAGGGTGGCGAAGCTCGGCTGCTAGCACTCATCCGTTGGTAGCCATGCTTAGCTAGAGAAGGGTGGGTGCAATAATAGAGGTTCCTGGGCCATGGGACTGCTACTGCGTGTTTGTTTTCGCAATATACTGTGATTTCTTCTCAAGATAAGCAGTCTCATAGCGAAGCCATATCCGTAGTCTGGATGGTTTAGGGAAGGAACTTTAGCACAAACACGCAGTCGTCTGAATGCGATTGCGGTCAGGACGGTTGGTAGAAGTAGTCAGAGCAACGTAAGGACAGGACGAGACGATGATGGGAGGAGACGGGAATCAGCGGGAGAACAATCTGCCGCTAGGAGGCGGAGACGTAGAAGGCCAGAATGGGCCCAGTGAGGGAGCAATAGGCCCCAAGGGAGGTGCTAAGACCGGAATTGCCGGCGGCGGAGGCAACGCGCCGACTGGATCGGAAGGACCGCAGGGGCCGCAGGCACGACCGCGGTCACAAATGGGTGGACAGGTGGGATATCAGCGTAGCGCCTCCTGGCAAGGCACAGAGGACAAGACGACGATGTAGCGCTGGAAATACACTCAGCTGCCGAAGATAGAGGTGCCTGAAAGATTCTCCGGCGATGCTCGACGAGGTCCGAGCCTGAAGAATTACATCATGCAGATGGAAAATTTGCAAGCGCGATGGGCGAAGGATCAGCTGGATCCAGAGGAGTTCTTCCGAGGGCTGGCAAATACGCTGACCGGAGAGGCGGAGACCTACTACCGGATATCTCGCAAGGAGCTGTCGGAGTGGGCGGCGGGGCGGGCCCCGTGAGAAAGGGATCCTACGGCGAGGTTCCTTGCAATGCCACGAGAACAATTTCCTGCGCAAACGGCGGAGCGAGTGGTGGAGTTCCGAGCGTTCAGAAGGCGAGAGGGAGAATCGCTGCTGGCGTGCTACGGGAGACTGGTGGAATTGGGAGAGGACATGAACTGTGGAGACCAGGGACAACTGATCGGGAAGTTAGTCCATGGCCTGAGTCAACCGCTGCGGCAGGACGTGGAAGTGCGGGTGTTCGAGCTGGGAGCGGAAGCGACGCTGAAAGAGGCGTACGAAATCGTTAAACGCGTGGAGACGGGACGTAGGCTCTACAAGGTCGAGAGAACGGTGGATCGGGGACCCGAGAGGAGACGGCCGGCATGGGCAGCCGCGTTCGCGTATCATGAGGTGGAGGAAAGGGGAAGGGAAGAAACCCGACACTGCCATAACTGTGGACAACCGGGACATCTGCGCAGGGATTGCCGGAACCCAGCAGCATGCTCGCTCTGCGGGAGCTGCGAGCATTTGCGCCGGGACTGTCCGGGGGCCCCTGTGTGCGCACGCTGTGGAAGGAAGGGGCATCGGGAAGCAGACTACTACGCAAACCGCAGGGATAGGCGAGGAGCTGAGGGAGGCAAAGATCGGCAAGCCACCATGGCACGGCTGCGAGCGC